TAAATGATTGTTAATATTAATGATTAGACTATGTTATCTTAGTGAAACTTTTTGTGAAATGAGAGATTTGAAGTAGAAGAAGGAGGAACATTGTAATGAAATAATGAGCTATAATATGTGATGGGGGGGGAATAATTATGGAAAATAGGTGCTCCCATAAAAGTATGTGATTTAATTGAAAAGTAATGTGTTAAATGTTTAAGATATAAATGAATATCAATATTAATGAATAGATTTGTATTGGTTTTGATAATATAGTATAATTTTAGAATGTACCAGACAGAATCCCAATGAAAGTTATGTGTTTTATATTAAGTATTATAAAGATAGGGGAAAGAGATAAAGGCATCACACTCCATTTAGTGTACAGGAGAAGTTTTTTTTTTTTTTTTTTAAAAGAAAGATAAATGGATAGCTGGAAATAGAACAGACAAAGAATAATAAATATTATGATTTGAATTGAGAGGAGATAAATAAAATAAAATTGAGAAAATTTAAAAGAGAGGAGAAGCTATACAGAAAATTGAAAATGTTAATAAGATATGAAATAGTATGTAAAATGAATATGAATTTGAATTTGTGTCTGTACCAAGAGTTTTAACCCGGGACTAAGCAACTTTCAGAAAAGAGATTTTTTATGTTTCTATGTTTTGTGTTTTTGTGTATTTATGTTTTGTATGTCTTTAAAAATTAATAAAATTTGTTCAAAAAAAAAGTTAGGAAACCTCTATGGCTAAAGTCAATACATTATTACTAAACAATTTTTAATTACATAGATTTTTAAACAATCATAAATTGTGGATTATAGACCAAAATAATTAAGTGTATGTGTGCATTGCATGAAGCCCAAACAACCCTATCTTATCTCACCTTCATTGTGACTTAGCTATAAATTATAAATTGATCCAGTAGGTTACTATAGAACTAGAACCAGAGGTTGCCTAATGAAATTGAATTCTGGAAGAATCAAGAACCGACAAGAGGTTTTGTTTTTTTACACAACATATAATTAAATTTTGGAATTTGCTATCATGAGATATAGTACTGGTTACTAGTTTGGCATCAAAAAAGGACCAAATCATTGTAGTCCTGGAGATCAATGGCTATTAATCTAGATAGCAGTATGACTGCCTCTGAACGCACTGGTACACTACAGTGCTTCCCTTTGTAGGTGGTTTGTCATTGTGAGAAAAGACTACAGGGCTGTTACGGTCCAAGTCAGCATATATTCTTATGTTTTCAATAAGCAAGGTATCACAGACATGCAAATAAAGGGAAGAAAAAATCATAATTGCAATCAAGGATTAACCAGCCTGACCTATATATGAAACTTACCTTCAGAAGAGCAAAATAAATGCACTTAAAATTTATTATTTTTTCATGAGGACCATGATTAAGCGTTCTGTGAACCCTTAAAAGCTTTATTACAACTTATTAAGCTAAAATAATTGAAATAAATAAACAATTCACATCTAAATACCCGTGTTTCTCACAAAATAAGGCCGGGCCTTATTTTTTTTTTAAAAAAAAAAACAGCTAGGACGTCTTTTCGGGGGTGAATTAATTTCTCCCCCCCCCCACGCACCAGAGCCGTCTCAAACAACAGCGTCTGAGTCACTCCTGCTTTCCCCCCGTCCTCGTAATAACAGGAAAAAAAAGATTTTGAGGAGCACCACGTGCTGCGTTTTGGTTTAATCCTGAGTGACTGGGTGGGCGTGATAAGAGCCAAGCGAGCGTCTCTGCTGCTGCTACCCTTGGTGCTCCAGCCTCAGGCTCTGCAAGTTTACAAAATTCCCGGTGCGCAGCCCGTTCCTGCATCCCTAGCACCCAGGCCGAGCTGCAGCTGTCCCTCTCTTGCCAGCACCGTCTCCAATAACAGCGGCAGCAGCAGCAGGAACCATGGAAGTTATGGAGGTGGTTCCCCCACCCGAGAAGCGGCTGAAACGCTTCCATGGTTCCCGCCGCTGCTGCCGCTGTTATTGGAGATGGCTCGCTCGGCTCTTCTCACACCCACCCAGCCGCTCAGGATTAAACTAAAATGCAGCACGCGGCGCTCCCAGGTAGCTCAAAATGTTTTTTTTTCCTGTTGTTATGGGGAAAAGCGGGAGCGACAGATGCTGTTGTTGGAGACGGCACTGGCAAGAGAGGCGCCAGCACTGGTGGGAACCGTGGAAGCTACGGAGGCCTGAGAAGCGGCTGAAATGCTGCCGGACATCCACGCCAACACTGCCCGCCTGCTGACCTGCATAAGGGAGGGGTAAGGGAGCCCTCCATGCTCCCCCTCCATGGTGTTAGGAGTGGCTGATGGTGAGGCATAGCTGCCCACAGGGCACTCCTAATGGAAAGTTTCCCCCACCTTCCCCCCCCCAAATTTTGCATGTTTTAAACTAGACCTAAATTTGGGGGGAGGGGCTTAATTTCATTTTATGCCAAGAAAACATGCTGGGTCTTCCTACTGGGGGGGGGGGCGTATTGTTGGAGAAACATGGTAGAAATCTATTGAAGGTCAACTAGATTAAGATGCCTAATTTTGGCTATACTTGAAAAACCACTCAGATAATTTGGTATCTTTAGGGGAGGGGAGAGGATGGAACTAGAAAAACGTGTATATTAAATTCCAACTGTCCTCTATCTAAAGTTGATATTTGTATAGATACAACAGTACAGCTTCAATTAATTAATTACATACCAGGTGTCCAGGGTAACCCCATGTTCCTAGTTCACCATCATCACCAACTAATCCTGGAGTACCCTGAGAAACAAAAGCTGATTTGTTTCAGGAGAAATATAAAAGACTGCACATTTATATATTCCCAACCAGATTTTGAGGCAGCTATCTTTCAGTAGCAAATGTGGGAAAGAATAGTGAAAAAATATTAATAATGAAATGTTTTACAAGAGTTGCACAGTATGTATTATTATCTGGAAAAAATTTTTTTTCCATTGTCCACTTCTCTTGGACACCAATACAATAACGCTAGGATTTCCTTAGCCATAGCCAGTTTTTGCTGGTAAAGACTAATGACGAAAGTTGTCTGCTTATACAAATAGAGGCTACAGCCCAAGGTAAGGTAACCCTGGCAGAGCCTGAATGTGATAAGTATTGCAAAGTTTCAATAAAGTACATTTTTGTTCATTTATCACTGCTATTTTCTATGCCAAAGATATCAGCAATTGCTTGAGAAGTTACAATCTAAATGGACAAACTAATTTCACAAAGTTTGGAAATCTAGTAAGATTTCAACTATATAATTTTAGGACTCAGAAGAGCCATCTGAAGAAGTGACAGATGTCAGAATATTCATGAACTGACAGAGTAACAAGGTAACAAGGTCAGCCAATGAATAGGCATAGCAACTAAGTCAGCCAATGAGGACTGTTTGGAAACTGAAACTGGAAGGAGCTTGGGTGTGGCTCTTCAGAGTTCTGAATCTGCAAACTAGTGAAGGATCAGATGATGGAATGTATGTGCGGAGGCACTGGGGATCAGAGGAAGGGTCATATGTAGAGATAGGACCCAGGTATGAATGGAATGGACATGAGAGTGAGGAATATGAATTCTGATAAAACATTTTATCTTGTCTTCATTTCTGTGCCTTAAGCAGCCTTGCTCCTTCCTGTCTCTCTCTACAGAAGGAGAGGGGTCACGGGGGGGGGGGGGGGGGGCAGGGTGCTGCCCCAGACAAAGATTTAAAACTGCTTTTACTTTTCTCCGCAGAAAGGGGAAGCTACCTTGAGCTGCTCTACAATAGGAAAGGGGTTGGAACCGTATATTCTTAACACCTTAAACCACTAGTCAGAATATTAGGGACAAGAATAGCTTGCTTATATGAAAATCCCCCAAAACCACATAGCTGGCACATGAAACTAGGACACTTTGCAAGATACCCACGACCTGGGGTGAAACACAGGTGATGCAACATTTAGCTATTTAGGGGGCTGAGATCCAAATAACCAATCAATATTATCTGTTATGCATGCATTATTAGGGGAAGGGCAAAGGGCTGAATGCGACCATCCCTTGACTATAAAAATTGCTGTAAGATTGTAATCGGGGCCCTTGGTTAGCTTTTGAGCCAGGATCCTTATATCTTGGTACCAAAATAAAAGTATAATTTTGTATCACACCTTGTGTCCGGTGACTTATCAGCTTCAACACCAAGCAAGAGCCCAGTTTTGGGAACAACACTAGTCTGCAACTCTGAATCAAAACTGAAACTGTTCTCTGCTGTTCTCTTCTCTCCTTGTGTTTTGCCTGTAACTGCTACCACGTTGGAAGAATCTGCTGTTGATATTGTAAATTTACTTCATGTGTTATTATGTATATAAAGAAGTTAATGAATCCTGCTGAATCAGTTATTTGTATGTGCTTTCTGGATTTGATTTCTGCAACACGCTCTGATAACAGGTGACTCTGAATACCACCTTTCATATCCATTTGCATTATATTAACAGAGATCCTGCTGAAAGATCTCCGTTTTATTATGAGACAAAACCCAGGCTGTACTGTCATTACAGATTCCAAAGCACCATAAAGCAATGCATGATTCTCCATGAGGATTTCTGTGGAATTTTTATAACTGGATATATCACACAAAAGTTTACATTTTGAGCCCAACTCTTGTGTATTTGAAATTTCATTATTTTATATTGAAATGAATGAGTTACTTCAAGTCACCAAATGAATCATAATCATAAGCACGTTGTTGGTTTTAGAAATTTGATGGTCAAGGAAATTTGATGGCTCCGAGGAAATTTTGAGAACTCAGTGAAAAGGGACTGCATAACTCCCAAAAATACATTTTGCATTATTCAGAAGAGAAAAATAGCAATATATTAAAAATACAGCATGTAATAATCAAACAAAACCATGGACACTAAAATAGCTTTTGTACAGTTTGTTTCACAATACCATTCTTCCTCTTTTTCCTTTTACTCCAGGTTTTCCAGGATTGCCCATATCTCCAGGTTTTTCCTGCCAAATATAGCACAAAGTTAATAAAATGTATATAAATATATGATATATAACAATGCAAAAACACAGTATACTGCTTATTCTGATAGGTAGAATTATCTATTTTAATTAATGTTACAAAGAATTCAATGAAATAATTGGAATTAGATATTTGAAGAGATGATAAGCATCTTATAGAAACTGCAAAAAGAAATTTGTGACATAGAAACATAGAATCATATAATTGGAAGGAACCTTGGAGGTATTTTAGTACCATTTCCCTACTCAAGGCAGGAGTCTTACACCATCCTGGTCAAATGGTCATCCAGTCCGCTTTTGAAAACCTCCAATGATGAAGCACTCACAACCCCATGAGATTAGCTATTCCATTAATTATTTGTTCTCACTATCAGAAAATTTCTCCTTTACTTCTAGACTGGATTTCTCTTTCACAAACTTCCACTTATTACTTATTGTCCTAGCCTCTGGTGCCCTAGAGAAAAAAAAATCAAACCCTCTTATTTGTGACTACTCCACAAGTACTGGAAAATAGTTATCATCTCATCTCTAATCCTTCTCTTTTATAGGCTAGACATACCTAGCTCCCTCAACCATTTGTCATATGATTTAGCATCCAGACCTTTTATCATCTTTGTTGTCTTTCTCTGCACATTTTTCTGGGTTTCAACATATTTTTGTATCACCTCACTGCATGCTTCCCTTCAGGTAGATATAGTTCCATTCAAGACTATATTCTGAATGTGGTTGATCAACCAGTTGCACATCCTTATGGTTGATGGTCTATCCCACATTTTTTCCATCTTACCAAGAAATAGGTTATGGTCTACCTAGTCAAACACTTTGCTGAAGTCCAAGTATCCCATGTCCTATCATTTTACTGATCCTTACTTACTTTATCAAAAAAATGGAATAAGTCCTGTCTGGCATGTTCTGATTTTAACAAATCCATGCTGGCTTTTAGTAATCATCTTGTTTGTTTGTAGGTGCTCACAAATCCTCCACTTACTTTTTCCGGGATTTTCCATATATTGATGTCAAACTGATTAGCCTATAATTTTCTGGATTCATTTCCCCCCTCTTTTTCTAGATTGGAACTTTTCCAGTCCTCTGAGATTTTCACTGTGCTATATGAGCTTTGAAAAAATATATTCAGTGGCTCTGAAATTATACCTGCCAGCTCCTTCAAAACCGTTGGATATAAACCATTTGGCCAGGTGATTTGTACTTATCTAGGGTGGATAGGGATTCTCTTACTAATTCCTTGCTTGTTTTGATTTGTATATCTGTTCTATCTTTCTCAGTGCTGATTTTGATAGGTTTGGCTTGGCTTTTGTTAAAAATGGAAATATGTAAATCATGCAGTTTGCAAAGTAATATGATGAACTAGTGTCAGAGTATATTCATGAACTGGAATAGAGCTTGGTAACAAGATCAGCCAATGAATAGGCATAGCAACTAAATCAGCCAATAAGGACAAACCGAAACTAGAAGTAGTCTAGGCTGGAAACTGAAACTAGAAGTAGCTTAGGCATGGCTCTATATTAAGCTCTGCAGCTCTGAAGCTGTTGAGCTCTGAGTCTGTCTATTGAAAATGAAACTGCTTCTCTCCTCTGCTGTGTATAATACTTGCCTGCTGAACTAAAGTGAAACTGATGTCTGTTTCTGAGCTGCTGAGTTGCTGCTGAAGCTCTGAACATGTCTTCTTCTGTCTGAGTTTCCTCCAACTGGTTTCAAAAATCGACTTATTATGTTTAGAAAGATGTTAAATGAAGCATCAGTCATCTGTGTTTATTTTTTTGGTGCTGAATTAACACTGCAAAAACTCTGAATAGGTTATGGGCCCAGAAGGCCAGAAAAAGGCTTGAGGAGGAAAAATCCCTTAGGAGGGGGCCCAAGAGGAGCAATGGAAATTTCCACAGCCAGGCTGTCTGCAGAGGGCAGCACAGAGATAAGAGCCTTGGAGTTTCCAGAGACCAGCAGAAAAAGCAGGAGAAGATATCAGATTACAACCCAGCAACAGAAGAGGTGCTTCGTTTCTATTCATTTAAAGAAGGACTGCTTGCAAGACAGAAGTTTGCAAGGACAGGTTGATGGACAGATTTCTGTTGCAAAAGCCTGCAATAGTAATGGAAGAAATCAATAGCTGATAGACAGTGGGTCTAGCCAAATGATTATTAATAATGCTAAATTGTTTTACAGGATGGAAGCAGCTGCAGGAGAAACAGTAGCCTTGGCAAATGGCAAGAAGGCTAAAGTCATTGGAAGTGGCAGTATGCAAATTCCACATTTGGAAACAAGGTTTAATAATATTTTATGTGTGCCAGAAATGGAACATAATTTGCTGAGTGTCTCTAGGTTAGACAAGCAAGGATTTGACACCACATTTGTAAATGGGCAGAGTCTTATAAAGAAAAAATGGGACTGTCTGTGCAAAGGGCATAAAGCATGATAACCTTTATATGTCACAGGGACAAAAAGTTCAGTGTGCACAAACATTTGGCAATGTTGCAAAACATGATTCATGTGTTCATCTTTTGCACAGAAAGCTTGGTATTCCAACTTTAAAGTTGTTCAAAAAATGGACCAGTATGCAGAAGGATTGCATGTAAAGGGATGTAAGGCATATTTGGATTGTGCAGTATGCAAAACATCAAAGTCCAAGGCATTCCCAGTAAGCAAGAGCAAAAAAAAAAAAAAAAAAGTAAGCAAGGCAGACAACAAGAGTTCTAGAGCTGGTACATGCAGATTTGGTGGGCCCAATGCAAGCCAGTTTTCAACAGTGGTTGGCACAATTAAGGAATAAAACACAGACACACAAATCCTTACACAGCAGCTGAGAATGGTGTTGCTGAGAGATGGAATGGAGTCTTGCAAACCATGAAGGAATCACTGCTAGAGGATTCTGGTCCAAGCAGGTCATATTGGGGTGAAGCCATATTGACTGCTAATTATTTAGTTAATAGGTTGTGGAGTTCCTCCATTAATGATACTCCATTTGCAGTGCTATATGGGAGAAAACCATCTCTAGCACATTTAAAGGTGTTTGGAAGCAATGTGTAGGTGCATATTCCAAAAGCAATTAGAAGAAAGGGGCAACCAAACGCTAGAAAGCTCAGGTTTGTGGGCTATGAGCCAGGCTCAAAAAGTTATTGCTTTAGCGATGGGAGCAAAAGAATAATATTGTCAAGGTCTGCAAGCTTTGCAGAGCAAAATTGGAACAAAATTGATGCAAATTTGTGGAATGATTCACTTAGTGATGACGATTCACTTAGTGATGGTAACTCACTTAGTGATGGTGTCAGCGTTCAGGGAGGAGAAGCTGAACAAGATATGAAGCAATAGAGGGTTGACACACAAGAGCAGTCAGTGCCACGCAGGTCAGAGCAATTGAACAAGGGGATTCCACCTGACAGGTATTCTGCTAGTGAAGTTAAAGTGTATGGTATGAGCCAAGGAACTACAAAGAAGTATTGGCATTACCTAAAATTGAACAAGTAAAATGGAAAGAAGCCATGGACAAGGAAACGAAATCCATGGGAGAACATGAAGTGTTCACATCTATGACTTTGCCACAGAGTACAAAGCTGTAGGATGCAATGGGTATACAACAAAAAAGTATTACCCAATAATGAAGTACAATATAAAGCAAGGTTAGTGGCACAGGAGTTTTCACAGATGAAAAATGTGCACTATGAGGAGATGTTCGCACCAACTGTAAAGGAGTGAGAGCATCAGGCTGGCACTAGCATTGGCAGCAGCACATGGCCATAAAATTTGGCATTTTGACATAACCATTTCATTTCTCAATGCAGAATCAGAGGAAAAATTTTACATGGTTCAAACACCAGGGTATGAAAGTAAAAAGTCTAACACAGTATATAAATTGAATAAGACCATATATGGGCTGAAGCAGTCAGCCAGGAATTGGAATATCTATTTAGATACTGCATTGAAGGGTCTTGGGTTCAAGAGTTGCAAGGCTGATGGTTGCATATACACTGGAAAGTTAAAAAGCGGGGATCAATGCAATTGCATTAGATAGGTATAAAAAGGAATTATCAGCTATTTGGAGGGAACTATGAATATTGAACTGTCTTCAAATACAGGTACAACTAGCATGTATGTGCGAGGGGAACCTTTACTCAGGCATAAAATGGATCCCTAAAGTCTCAAAATCTAATCTATTGTTTTTATCTTATAAACTTACCATATACTGAAACCATTTCCCCTGGTGAAGTTCCTTCAGGCGTCTGGCTGCTGTCTGAGTCCTTATGGGGTCCTCATACATTAAGTGTAGGTGATGCCAAAACCCCTGATAGTCTGTTAACAATGGACTCTCTTGCACTAATAAAGGAGTGGCCCACTTGGCAGCCGAGCCCGAAAGAAGGCTTATTACAAACCCCACCCGAGCCCGGTCATCAGGGAAATCCTTTGGCCTCAGAGCCATAAACAATTGGCACTGTCCCATGAAAGCCGGGAACATTTCAGGCTGCCCAGAGAACTTATCCGGCACAGCTACCGGGCATTTCCTATGGGGAGGGGCAGGAGGAGCAGCACGAGCCTGCAGCAGAGTGAGTTGATTAATCAGCTGAGTAACTTGCTGCTGCAAAACCTGGTTATCGTTCTGCAGCTGGTTAAGCTGCTGCTGCTGCTGCTGCTGTTGATCCATCTTGGTCAAAAGATGGCTTTTGTTAAGGTTCGGGACAAAAATGTTATGTCTCACCTGTACCAACGAGGTGAGAAGTCCAAATTTCCAACCGAATATAAACAAGCAAGCAAGTCCAGTAATTACAGGGTTAAATTCCTTGAGCCGATAAAGTTCTTGGCAGTCTCACACAAGCTGTCTGCCAAGTCTGACAAGAAAGCAGGAATATAAATCACAAGCTGTCACCGCACACAGGATACTCCGAAGCTTCTCTCACTAAGTAACACGTTGTCCTGAACAAGTTCCCAGAGCGAACACACCCACTTTTATTCCCTGTGGGGCGTGTCAGTCCCTCATCTCAGTCTCTGATTCGTCCTTTCTTTCTGCGTTGCAGCTCGCACTTTTGCCTGCGCTGTTGCCTCGCATCAAGCCAGCATTCCTCAGCTTGATCCTCAGTCAGAGACTCTGATACGCCCTCCTGGTTATCTGCCGACACCTGAGGCACAATCAGGGAGGAAGGTCTTGCCAAAGAGGAAAGTCCTGGGGAGGAAGACAACTCCAAATCTTCCTCTTCCTCGTTGTCTAAGTCTTCGTCCTCTAACAAAGCAGGCTCAAACCTCAGAGCCAAATCCTCCTCTTCCTCATTGTCCAAGTCTTTGTCCTCTAACAAAGCAGGCTCAAACCTCAGAGCCAAATCCTTCTCTTCCTCATTGTCCAAGTCTTCGTCCTCTAACAAAGCAGGCTCAAACCTCAGAGCCACAACACATGGTATATGATATGATATGATATAACATGGATCCAGACTAGATAACTGCAGTTGTTGAATCCTTCTAATATGGTAGAAATTGTGTTGAAATTGTAACATCTTTTTGCTATATAGATTGGACAAGAACAAGATCTTTTGCAATTCTTTGGAAGAGATTGCGAAGACCAGACTCCTCTCTAGAACACTAAAAATCTCCACAGACCATTCTCATTCTGGACATTCATATTTCGATCTGTTACCATCAGGGAGGCATTATAGGACTAAGAAATTGAGAAACAGTTTCTTTTCTGAGGCAGTAATTGTCTTGAATCAAACAGTGCATTTGTGATTTAGTCCTATTATTATTATTATAATTATTTTAGTTTTTAGAACTCTGTAGTTTGATTGTGATGTGGTATTTGGGGCACTGTGCTGGAGTAGCTTTCAAATTTCATTGTATTCGTGGAATGCAGTGACAATAAAGGTATTGTATTCTATTCTATATTCTATTCATCAGATGAAAATCATTTATTAGAATTTGTTACCATTTATTAATTACTAAAAATCACTTAATCTCTTGCCTTTAAATGTTAAACAATTTCTTCTTTCAACTTTTTAATTTCTAGATAAGGTTATTTTTAGATTAAGCAAGGAAGGGCAGATGAGGACTTGCAAACCTGAATCCCAACAAAGAAGACTTTTGAAATAATAATGTAAATCATCTGTTTGAGCTAAAGTATTACATTTGATTTGCTGATTACCTTGTATTCTAAGTTCTTCAGATTTTTGTCCAAGTGCTATTATATTATCATCCAAGCCATCTGAGAAAAGAAGTAATACCTAAAAAAATATAAAGACAATGAGATTAAAATAAGAACATACATCAAGGAAACCAAAACAAGAACTATAAACACAGATTCATTCATCAAATAGTTTGATGAGCTTTAAAGAGAAATGTATACATTTGGAGAAATGTAGGTGCACTTAGACAAACCATCATTGACAAAGATTACAAGAAGACACATTTCTTCTGTTGAAAATTATTAATTTCTAGATGTCCCAGAATAATGTTGCAAATCAATTCTGGGTTGTTCACCGGGACTAGAGATTAGGTTAGTCTAGATTTGTAGTCCCAGTAACTAACCCAGATTCAATCTTGTAATATATATTCTTTTAACTCTTCATTATTTCACGATAGTAAAGTTTGCAGAAAACAACAAAAAATATTTAATTTAATATTTTTGTATAACATTTCATTTATCCTGTAAAACATAGATAAACTGAAATTATTAAAGGCTATTACATAAATATTTCAATTTTCTCAAAATGTTTTAATGCAAATAATTAGCTCAAGGATCATTCCAAACACAACATTTAATATACAATATATCAAAATGATTATAATTCCTCTAATTTGATTCATGCAATGCAATTTTAAGGAAGTGCAATATTATTAATTAAGGAAACCTATATTATACCAATTTAAATAATAAGCTGGTATCTGATATAATGCAGTATTTTAATAAAAACTATTAAGATGGAAATAAATTACCGTGTTTCGATTTTCTATGTCAGTCACATTTTTAACTAAATTCCAAAGAGCATCCAAGAAGTCAGTGTTGAGATGAGATGGTCTGTTGACCACAACGTTTCTGAGTTCTGTTACTATATTTGTGTCATCAACATAATGAAATTTTGCCCAGAAAGGTTTATCTGTGTTTTCTACTGAAATAGTCACACTGAATTGTGCTTTTTTATCCTTAGAGCAACTTGTGCTGCTTAAAGATGTTAGGCCTTTTATAATATCAGGAAGATAAATCTCCAAATGATGTTGCTCACTGAATAAATTGTTTCCTGGCTTCTGAGATGACATATCAAATCCAATAATAATATCTACAAAACATGCTGTTTAGATGAATATAAAGGCAAAATATCAGAAAATAACAAAAAACAAATTTGCAGTTAAATTCAAGCAAATTGTGACAATATTTAACATTGTATTAGAACTGATTGCTTCTCATTTCTTGACGGGTTATCTAGATAAGCAACTGTGGGCAGATTGTACATAGCCAGCTACATGTAAATTTAAACTTAAATTTAGTTTAAATTTAAACTATGACTTAAATGTTTTTGGCCATCGTTATATTGAAACAGTTTAAAAAGGTAAACCAAATGAGATGCTTTGAACTGAGCTACAGTACACATGTAACATAAACATTTGATACCATCTGACCCTCCCCCCTCCTTTCCTTAGACTATAGATATAAAATTAAGATTATTGGTATAAATTGCAAATCACCTCTATGGACACATAATTTCCTAAACTATTGTTTGTTTTAATGATTTATTAATAAACCACATTTGCCCATGTCCACACAACGTAGAAAGATACACATTATAGTTTAATGCTGGGGCTAACTAATCTAAAGCCAAATAAACTCCATTAGCATGTCATGTGAATCTAGCCATAGAAAATGTCTACATTATTTATCTTTAGTCTACTTTTCACAGAACAAATATATAATTTTCTATGTTCATTAAAGTTTTTTTTCCTTTTTGGGAAGGGAGCATTCATACAAAATTTATTCCTATCTATTAGTTTTAAAGCATTCTCAAATCACATGCCAGAACCAAACAATGGAGTATAATTAGCTTGACTGTAATAGGTAAAATGATTAGAATATAAATAATATATTCACTAAAACACTGAAAAAAATGCACAGATGATCTTATCTACTTAGTTACATTAGGCATTAGAAATGTTTATGGATGCTTAATGAAAATTTTTACTTCTCCTTAATAAGATCTTTTTGCCTTATTCACTTTTTCACTCTGCAGCCTGTAATGTTTTGAAAAGAAAATAAGAAAAGGACAAGGTCCTTTTTTTCAGGCAGAGGTTTAATCAGATGGACTTCTGGATTTTGTCCAACAAACCAAATAACAAAAGAGATGCTATTTGACAAGAAACAAATACTAGCAACTAAAATCTATTATTATGTAAGCAACCAAGCATTTATTTTAATTGAAAGGAACTTATTTGCTTCAGTAGTCTCTTTACAAATTTCCTTATTTACATGATTAACAAGAGTTTTTAGATCACTGTAATGGTCAACCTTATATTTTCTGCTTGGGGAGTTGGTAATCTGCAGAAGTTTTGAATCAGTCACATTTCCTACTGCAACTGCATGGATTTCCACACCTTCATCTCTCAATTTTTTTGCTGCTTGAGGAAACTCATCATCTGATCTTCCATCAGTGAATATGAGCAACTTTTGGTTAACACTTCGAGCTACTCTTTCTTTGCTGGTTTTGAAAAAGGTTTTGACTTTTCTGAGGGCATGTCCAATCAATGTGGACCCTCCTGTGATCAGTGACATATTAGTAATTTTACTATACAGTTCTGGTAGATCTTGATAAGCACCCAGCTGGAATACTTCTTGAAGTGTATTACTGAATTGGGCCATTCCAACTAGAATATTGTCTTTATTTATAATTGACTTAAGCAAGTTTTATCACAAAATCCTTCACAGCCTTCAGTTCTTTGTCAGGGATACTTCTGGAATCAGCTAGGATAACAAGTTCTGCTTCAATATCACATTCTGCAAAAGGAATCCAATAAAAAAAACATGATATACTGCTTTAGTATGGCATCCAAAGAGCAATAGGAACCACATAAGACAGGTTAGAGAGAATATGAATTCCAATTTGCACAAGTCTGTTATTTTAAAAAAGAGGCCAGCCAGTGGATCACCTTAAGAATCTGTAAGCCTGGGAGGATGGAGCTGGCGTCGCGACGATACGGCATGTGATCTTGGAGATCTGAGATCGCAGCCAATATCTTTGCTCCTGGACGGTCCAAGTGGATCTAAACCATCCCGAAGAGACGGTGAATGTAAAGAGTGTATCCTGTCAATCCCAGGGATATTGCAAGTCCCTGGTAGATCCAGGAGAAGCTCTTTTTGCCAGCAGCAAAGAGGCAGCCATTAAAGCTGCTGAAGTTGGGACAGCTCCGAAACAAAAGAGAATGGAAAGAGAGAGTGTGCCGGTTTGGTGAGAACTTTTTCTTTATTTTAAGACTTGAAAGGACACCCTAAGGGAAAGAAAGAATCTGTAAAAGTTTTGACAGAAGTGATTAAGCGGCGATTTTAAACAGGAATGTCAAAGTAATATTTTTTTTCTCATTGCTGGATTTTCTGCACATGAACTTATATTTTGAAACTGGACTGGTTTTTTTTTCTTCTTTTTATATATTCTTCTCTCCTTTTTGATTTTATAATATTTTAAGCCAGAGACTCCCTTTTAGTTATTTTTTAAATATTTTTTTCTTTTTTATAATTAGTTATTATTATATTTTGCTTGGAAAAGGAGGGGGAAAGTGAAAACTAAAGAAACTTTGTAACACTGCCAACTAGTGGCTTGGAAATATTCTTTTTTTTTTTTTGACCAGACAAAGCTGAGAAAGAACTGAGACTTTGTTTCAAGGACATTGCCTGTTTGATAAGATAGAGGGATGAGCATGGGAGAGTATTATTACAGGTGCTCTTCTGGGTTTCTATCAACAGCTGGAGTCTGGTGTTGAAGCTTAGGAAAAGAAAACGTGATAAGTTTTTGGAGAAGAGAGTTATAACAAGAGCCTTGGATAATCAAACAAAGTGCAGTGTGCTCTTTTTATTCTTTTTAAGCTGTGCTACCCCTCCTCATCAGTTTACTTTTTTTTTGCAATAGCTATTTGGATTTTTGACTCTTTGGAACTTGGCTTTGTTTTTGTTTTTTTGTTTTTTCTTGTCTTTGGAAGTTAAATTTTTATGTCTGCTTTTTATTTTAAAGGAAAAGCTTTAGTATTAATGCTTCCCTTTTTTTTTCTTTTTAAGGGAGTAGCCTTTTTCTTCTCTTTCCTTCCCTGGTATTTTTGTCTTTCCATCTACCTTCCATATTGGTTTTTTTTCTTCTTTTTTTTGATTTATTTTTATGCATACTTTTATATTTGAGACCTCTTAATTGGATTAAGGTGTTGAAGAACCTGAAGAATTTGTCCTTTCTTTTTTAGCCTTTTTCTTCACTTTTTCGCCTTTTTTAGGATTTTACAACTTTTTCTTTTGTGTGTGTGTCCATGGTGTGTTTATGGTCTTTCCCTTCATTTTTGAATTTTTACTGTCATCTAACCAACTGATTGGATTAAGGTTTAGAAGAACCTGAAGATTTTGAACTTGTCAAAATGAGTAGGAAATTAACAGCTCCTGGTTCTTCAACTTCCACTTCTTCCTCTCCACCATCTGGAGGACAACATTCAATACAGACAATATTAAGGCAAGAAAAAGAACAAGAAAAAGTGACCCTGCAGATGATTATGCAAGGAATTCAAAATATTCAAACAAGATCAGAGAATATTGAACAAAGAACAGAGAATATTGAACAAACAACAGGGAAAACCAATGAAAAAGTGGAGAACATCCAACAAATGATGATGAAGTATGATGAGAGACTCCAAAAAATTGATAAACTGACTGACTTAGGTAAGATTTTGACAGGTACAAATGAAAAGGTGATTAAAAAATTGTATGGATATTTATTAAAAATTAAACTAGAAGAAGAACAAGTTAAAGAAACTATGATTGCTTGGGGGAAGAATTTTGGATATGGGATTGATCTTGAGAAATGGCAAAAATTGTGGTCTCAAAATTATAAAATGACAATGTCAACAACATATAAAGAAAATTTGTATAAGATGTTTTACAGGTGGCACTTTCTCCCGACAAGAATAGCAAGAATGTTCAAGAATAAATCCGAAAAATGTTGGAAATGTCATCAGATACCTGGCTCATAGTACCATATGTGGTGGACTTGTGCGGATGCTAAAAAATACTGGACTAAAATCCACACGTGGTTGGAAAAAATGACAAAAAACATATAGATTTGAAACCAGAAATATTTTTATTGGGAATTTTACCTGAAATATATAGTAAAGACTTGAAATACCTGATTGTAAATGTATTAACGGCGGCTAGGATTGTATTTGCTAAAAACTGGAAATTTGAGAAAATACCATCACAGGAGGAAATCATTAAGAAAATATTGGAATGTGCTGAAATGAGTAGATTGACATTTGAAATTAGAGAACAAGATGATAAACAATTTTATAAAATTTGGGATCTATTCTATCAATGGTTAGACAATAAAATACAGTAATGAAATATGTAGACTTTTAGAAAATAATAAATATATAAAGGTATTCTTTTCTAATTATATCTACAAAATGATTCTAGGATAGATCAGGGACGATGATACGAATTGTTATAAAACAAATTAAGTAAAATATGATCATTTTGGAAAACATGAATGAATAAAAGTATAGTTAATAATGATATTAATGTATTTAATATGTTGATTGAAAATACGAGATTATATACAATGTAATTATAATTGAAGACTATGAAATGGAAGCACAAAATAATTTGTAAATCAACCGGCACACTTTATGTACATATATGGAAGATGATTTGATGTTTTTATGTTTTGTTTGTTTATGTTTGTTTTAAAAGCCAATAAAAATTTAAAAGAGGGGAGAAGGCGGAGCCACGTCGCCACGCTACAGCTGTAATTTCGGGGCTCCAAAGTTACAGCTGATATCTTCGCCCCTGGTCGGTCCAATGGACCTAAACCGTCCCGTAGAGACGGTGATAGTAAGGGGCGTGTTCTGTTGATCACAGGGACACCGCAAGTCCCTGGTGGATCCAGAAGAAGCCCCTTTACCATCGGCGGAGAGGCAGCCATTAAGCTGCTGAAGCAGGGACAGCTCCGGAAGGAAGAGAAGAAAGAAAGAGAAAGTGTATCGGCTGGTGAGATTTTTTTTAATTTATTTGGGACAAGGACACCCTAGAAGAAGAAGAAACCTGTAAGATTTTTGACAGAACTTGATAAGATGGACTTAGTGGCGATTTTTTAGGAGATGTCAAAATGAGGCTTGGCTTTTTACTTTTTTTTTTTTTTTAGTGAACTTCTATTGTGATTAGTAATTGTAACCAGACTGGTTTTTCCTTTTATAATTACCTATTTTCTTTTTCCTTTTTGACTGTTTATATTTTTAATAGAGGCTCCCTTTAGTAATTTTTTCTTTTTTTAAATATATACATATATATACACATATTTTCTTTTTCTATTGGGCTTTTTTTTTTTCCGGGAAGAAGGGGGAGTGGAGTACAGAAACTTTGTAACTCTGTAACACTGCCAACTAGAGGCTTGAAAATACTTTACTTGAAGTTGAGAGAACTGTGAGAAACTCTTTCCCAAGGACACTGAGTTGATAAGATAGAGGGAGGAACTCTGGAGAATGTTTTCACAGGTGTCTCTTTGGGATTTCTACAATCAACTGAATATTTGAAGCTTGGCTTTGAAACTTGTGGAGAAGCCATAATAAGAGCCTTGGACGTTTAAATAAAATGCAGTGTGTTCCTTGCTTTACTTGTTGTTAGCTTTTATCCCTCCTCCTCAACCCTATAGCATTTTGTAATATTTGTACACTTTTGCTTATTACTATTATTATTATTTTTCATTTATTTTTTTTCTAAAGGGAAAGCCTCAGAATATTTTTTCCTTTTTTTTTCCTTTTGGGGGGGGGACTTTTGCTTTTTTCACCTTTATATGTATATATTCTTTTTTTATGGCTATGTTTTATTTTCTTGAGATCTCGCAATTGGATTAAGGTGTGAAGAACCTGAAGAATTTTTCTTTTTTTTTCCTTTTCTTTTTTCCCTTTTTCCTTTTATTATTATTTAATATTATTGGGTTTTATTCTCCTTCTGACTATCGCAAATGAGGATTAAGGTCTAGAAGAACCTGAAGAAATCTTTCTTTTTTCCTTGAAAACTTTTTCTTTTTTTAAATTTTGGGCTTTTTATTTTTTACTGGTTTTTCTTTTTCACGTTTTTCCTTTCCCTAATTGGATTATAATTGCCACTCTGCCAATTGGATTAAAAGAGTGGGAAGATTCTGAGTTATTTAAATGAGTAAGAAAATTCTACCTTCTGGTACCTCAACTTCTGCTCCTGCCTCCCCATCAACTGGAGGACGACTTTCAACAATGGCGAAGCAAGATAAAGGACAAATGGATCTAACGACGGTTATACAAGGAATTCAAGAACTTAAAATGAGTATTGAACAAAGGACGGGGAGTATTGAACAAAAAATTGAAAACATCCAACAAATGATGGTGAAATATGATGAGAGACTGCAAAAAATGGAAGAGAAAGACAATCAAAGAGATGAGAAACTGCAAAAAATGGAAGAGAAAGACAATCAAAGAGATAAGAAAATTGGAAATATTGATGACAAACACTTGAACAAAACAAGAATGAGATGTTGAAGTGGGAGATGGACAGATCAGAATATTACCTCAGATTTCAAAATATAGAGGAAGAAAAAGGACAAGATCTTGCTGCAGTAATGATAGAAATCTTGGCTGAAGCTCTGGAAATAACAGAGGAAAAGATGATGGATGGAATAGATGAGATATACCGAGTTTTTACAAGATATGCGTCGAGGAATAAGCTACCAAGAGAAGTTCATGTCAGATTTACCAAAAAATCTATTAAAACACAGATATTACAAGCGGCAAGAGAGAAGACATTGAAATATAGA